CAATGTATGTACAATGTAACAAAAGTTGCATTATGTAAATAGTACAATGTATGTGCAATGTAACAACAATTTCTTTACTAGTACAATGTATGTACAATTTAACAACAGTTGCAAAATGTAACTAATACAATGTATGTACACTGTAACAACAGTTGCATTATGTAACCAGTACAATCTATGCACAATGTAACAAAAGTTGCATTATGTAACTAGTACAATGTATGTACAATATAACAACAGTAGCATTATGTAACCAGTACAATGTATGTACACTGTAACAACAGTTGCATTATGTAACCAGTACAATCTATGCACAATGTAACAAAAGTTGCATTATGTAACTAGTACAATGTATGTACAATATAACAACAGTAGCATTATGTAACCAGTACAATGTATGTACACTGTAACAGTTGCATTATGTAACCAGTACAATCTATGCACAATGTAACAAAAGTTGCATTATGTAACTAGTACAATGTATGTACAATATAACAACAGTTGCATAATGTAACTAGTATAATGTATGTACAATGTAACAACAGTTGCATTATGTAAATAGTACAATCTATGCACAATGTAACAACAGTTGCATTATGTAAATAGTACAATCTATGTACAATGCAATAACAGTTGCATTATGTAACCAGTACAATCTATGTACAATGTAACAACAGTTGCATTATGTAACTAGTACAATGTATGTACAATGTAACGACAGTTGCATTATGTAAATAGTACAATCTATGTACAATGTAACAACAGTTGCATTATGTAACCAGTACAATCTATGTACAATGTAACAACAGTTGCATTATGTAACTAGTACAATGTATGTACAATGTAACAACAGTTGCATTATGTAAATAGTACAATCTATGTACAATGTAACAGTTGCATTATGTAACCAGTACAATCTATGTACAATGTAACAACAGTTGCATTATGTAAATATTACAATCTATGTACAATGTAACAACAGTTGCATTATGAAACCAGTACAATCTATGTACAATGTAACAACAGTTGCATTAGGTAAATAGTACAATGTATGTACACTGCAACAACAGTTGCATTATGTAACTAGTATAATGTATGTACAATGTAACCACAGTTGCAAAAATGTGGCTTGCGTTGCGGGTACAAAGTTTACACTAGCTGCTTATAACTGTCTATACGTTTCTAGTACAAAGGTCATTGAAAACGTTCACCCGGGAAGTCATATATGATTACTAAGGGATAGAATGTCTGTGTCCATTGTTTTCCTTAAATGTAGTTTTCAGGTAGATTTGTTTAACTCGACTACGCTGTTGTATATTTTTCTTTTTATTTATATATCAGTTGTGTATGTGTTCATTACCTTGATGAAGGTAAAGGTATTTGAGTGAGTGTATGTGTGGGTGGGGAGAGTATTTGTCCTCATGTTGTAGATACGTGTAGTAAACCATATGTGGATTATATATGTATATACCACGCACTTATATTTAGGAATGATCATACAATTTATGTTATATTATTCTGTAATGGACACTGTTTTTATTACGCTACATGTAGTATTAATTGAGGGACACGTTAGCTGGTAATTTTAGATATGTTGCAATACTATAACCATTTAAAAACTTTCATGTTTTTTTTTTTTTATTCTATAAGGAACATTAAGACTATATAAGTACATGTACTGTTCTTTGATGAAAATTAATATTAACAGTTTTTTTTTTTATCAATATCAGACCAGAATTGTTCCAATTTAAATTTTAAGCAGTATTTTATGTGCAAAATGTTGGAATATAAATTTTATTCTCACTTTTTTCATGCAAAAAGGATTGAACATCGTTAATGTGTATCCATCCATCCGGTTATTATCTAGATTATGAATGGACAAGTGTGTAAGAGTTACGTTATGTTAGTTATTCTGTTTTTCCCATACTCTCTGTACGATGGATTGACCTCTGTGCGTGCACACCTTTAACTCGGACATACTCTGGCTTATCACATTCAAACTTCACACATACATCATACACCTTGGGATACATATGCACGCCCATTAGTTTCACGATCTGGTGTTACCGGGTCTCGGTTTAGCAAGCATGGATTTTGTTAAAACTAAATACATTGGACATAATGAGACCTCGATGTACGTTTTGCTTTTCAAAAGATCATTTAAAATGGTCGACTGGCTGTTCCGAGGACACGTCTTTGACTTGCTTGAGCAATCAAGTTCAAACTTTAAGGATACATCCTATATTATGTCACACATTTATTTGTTTGACGATAAGTTAGAGATTGCTGAGTGCCGGCCATTTTAATTATTAACTTCATCAAAATCAAGCATTTATGCAATTTCTGACCAAGATCTGAGTACTAGTTACATAATGTTCTTGTTACATTGTACTTAGATTGTACTAGTTACATAAGGCAACTGTTGTTACATTGTACATACCTTGTATTATTTACATAATTTACTTGTTACATTGTACATATATTGTACTAGTTACATAATGTAAGTTTTGTTACATTATAACTACATCGTATTAATTTCATAATGTACTTATTGTTACATTTACATATATCGTACTATTTACATAATGCAACTGTTGTTACATTTATTGTACTAGTTCTTTAATTTACCTACTGTTACATTGCACATACTTTGTACTTGTTACATTGTAAATACTTGTACTACTTATATTATGTACCTGTTATTACATAGTACTAGTTCCATAATGTGTCAATTGTTACGTTATGCATACATTGTACTAGTTATATAATGCGTGGGGGTGTTCCGTACATGACGCGTAAAGGGTTATACGGGTTATTCACAAGTGGGGTACATGAGGTTGCAGGCCCGAGTCGAGTTCAAATATGTGAACCAAAGCACGACATGAGTACATTATCTGACTTACAATACGTTAGTGGTGGTGCGCGGGCATTATCTAGACAATGCAACATAAATACCTCATTGTATTAGAGTGTTGCATATATATACGTCGTGCGTGTTTATTCATAACGTTATTAATATGCCAAGTCCCTGACAGAGATAAGTAAATATGGAAGCCTGGTCTAACCTTTATAAACATTGACATGGGTGTTTAAATAACCCATGAAACAGTATACGTGCCACACTAGGGCGTTCAGGCCATGGCCCACTTGTCGGTCCAAGGGTGGGCTATGTCATATAAAATATCGTAGTCGAAATTTCTACTCACTTTAAGTAGACTCCAGGTAACGTCACATTTACTCTGTACACTGTTTGGTAAATAAATTACCTCGATGGTGCGCACAATCTATAAATATCGCATAAATATCCTTAAAGTTAAACGGAGAGTTACACAACGCGGAAGTCGGCTTTAATGGTGGTTGTGAGTGTGTCACGTGACAATGGTATTTGACATGCAAATAAGGTTTGCTTGGTCTGGTAAGGTTATGAGACTTGTTAGCAAGGCTGTTGTTTATTTCAGTACTGCCTTTTGAAAATTAACACTAGGATAATTGTGCTGAATTTAGGCATTGCTCAATTGGGACATATGAATATCATGTATATTATTGAGTATATATTGTAGAGTATTTGGGTATGTTCAATTTGCCAGTGAATCTTTTAATTTGTGAACGTAACTTATTAATTTGTAATTTTGCAGTTTCAACAAAGTCAATATGTGTAACTAAAATACTACCGGTAACGCCGGGGTGGAGCTAAATGCCTGCCTGTCGTGGTCATCAGTGCGTAAATTAATGATTGTTTCCCCAAAATATTTTTTTGCAGAATCAGTGTAAACAAAAACGCAATCGTAGAAATAGACGTGAATGAGTTTGAAAGCGAATATAGTTCTAGCAAGTCTTGTTTCTTCTCCGGTGAACGACATTGGTGACCTGGAGATCACTTGTACTATTCATAAACGTATATGCGAGGCAAAGCACCAACGTTTGGTGAAATCGCGGTCCGGTGAGCCCAATTCCTCATATTTCGACCCTCAAATTTCCCATATTACACAGTGTAGGATAGTATATTTATTTGACACGAAATTGCGGAGTTAATACATAATTTATGGTAAAACTAGTAGGTTCTCGATGAGCGGCTTTGGTAGTGAGTATCTTTCGCAATGAGTAGGGCTTTGTCGCAGTAACTGGTACATTCGTCGGAGTTGAGAATTAATGTTTTGTGTGTCATGAACAACTGGTGTTAATCTGGGAATACCATCCTTAAGAGCTGTTAAATTTGTCCTTATGTGTGCAGTTGCTTTGGCAGCAGTACTCAAATAAGACCATAGTGTCTTACTTCGACCAAAGACCATTTATAGAATGGGATTGTCTCATGCATTCTTGTTATACTGCTTAGTGACATACATACATGGTGTTACAGAAGGAGTGTTGAATAATGTTTATTTAAATTAATAATCCCACTACATTTTTTTCAATACAGATCATAGAATGAAAAAATGTATAACTTATTCACAGCAATGAAATAAATATACTAATAATATATTGCAATACAACAAATTAGAAGCAAAAAAATTCTGGTTTGTTTGCAATGTTCACAGCTATGCGCCTAGCGACACTTAATATATATAAAAAAAGTCTTGTCATGAGTAGAATTTCTTGCCATATGCCAAATCAGTCTGTAAAACTGCCAAATTGCATGATTATTTGTATACAATGTAAATTTATTGCAGAGAACTTTTAACAGGAAACCTGTCCCGAACTCTTCACGTCGACTTAGTTGGATAGTTATGACAGTATCAGCAAATACACATTTAGTTTTATATCACGTCAATGATGAATGAGTGGTCTGACACACATAGCATAATGTAATTTGAAATTCTTGAAATATGTTCCGTAATTGTCTTTTCTATAGTTGTTTAAACCTGCTTGATGAATTAGGTGAAACGTAATTACAGATAAACCGAAATGAAAATATAAAGTGCATGAAAATAAATGTGATAGATACTATAAGTTATAAATATATGTTAATACTATTATGAATAGAAATGCCATCTCAAACATTGTATGGTTAACTACATACAAATAGCATCAATGAGGGATACAGTAGTGGGTAATCCAATCTTGATAATTAAAAATGAAGTGGATGGCAAATATATAGATAGTTTATAATTGTTAACTTTTTTTTTTTTGAATTTAGCTATGTTCACCGACTCTTTGACTGGTGTTCCATAACAGCGCGCGCAGAGTCCATAGAAATACATGGTACAGTGGTGCGCGTCTTAGCAACCTGGATTTTGATTTATTAGATATTAGAGGTTAGATTTATTTATTAGAGGCGGTGAAATAAACATGGCGAAACAGGTCAAAACATTCGTATGCTAATTGAGGTCGCCATTTGCAATTGTTTTTTTGAATTTCTTCGGCGATAGCTACGTAAACTAGGACCAAAACGGCAAGATTCATTGGTCGGCAGTGACGACCACCAAAACGTAATTGAAGGCAAATAATCACGTGAAGCATAAAAACATAAATACGGGAACCATTGTTTTAACAATGGGGGTGGGGTGGAAATTACTCGTTTTTGAAGGTGTCATAATAAGCGAGGGTGAAAACCGTGTTTATGCTATTAAACAAATGGAGACCTTGATTTTACATTATGTACTTTAGTACAACGTCATATTTTGTTTCATTACCTAACGCTTTTAGGTTCATGTGCTGCAAGTTACAGAGCACATACCTAAGCGGTTGTCCCATCAGCAAATGATTTAGCCCAGGCATTGTTCGTGTTAAAATCGCGAAACTATCCGTTTTTTGCGCAATTTGGCAATTCCGAATTTCTAAACGAAGTACAGGACGACGCAGCTGAAATACTCAAAAACCAACACATAACAAAAATTATATCTCAAAGTCTAACTAGACCGGAAGTGAGAATATGTTACTACTCTAGATAATCAAACATATTTTAATTTAAGGTAGAAATAATTAACGAAGCACAAGCGCGTATACACTAGTGCAAAATCATGATAAACTCTGTCCTTGTCATATCATACATAACATCAACACAGCACAAATATGACTCATCTAATTCCTGAAGAAATTCCGCCATGGCCGGTCCCAAGCCCGGATTAGAAAGTAGGAGGGTTGGGGTTAGCAACCCCTTCCCGTAAAACCTTCTACGCCACAGAAACGAACTCCTGAAGATATCAAAAAGTACCCCCCGACCATTGCAAATGTTCGAAAGGACGGAGCCCTGCACTTCTGTTGATAACATTTGATGGAGAGAGAGAGGGGAAGAGAACACATGCTGCTTTTTTTTCTTGGAACACAAAGCTTGATTGTTTTACGCGCACAAGACCGGGAATGTCCAGCCACGTACCGGTTACACGTATGGCGTCAGTGTTAACATGAATATAAAAACATTGATGTAATATTGTAAAATACATGCAGTACTTATCAAGTCACAAATCATAATATCATTCCTTCACTCACTCACTGTAACCATCAATGGTGACTCCGGGTAGTCGTTTTTTTGCGCTCATGATTTATCAGTAATAAATCACCAAAGCAAGATTTATATGGGACCCAATTAGTCCCGAATATTATGACTATTATTGCTATAAATTGTCACAAAACCTTCGGTCAGTTCTTGGTAACTCACAACCAGTCTTGTGATTAGTTCTTGACAAATTCTGAACAGGCTACGCCTCCAACTGTGCCGTGTGTTCGGGACAACCGTTAATTCTTCATAAATGGAGTCGATTTGTGTAGTTTTCTTGATTTATTCTGCAGATATAGGTAAAATATGGGTGAAGGTTTGGCGAAATTTGAAAGAGCAACGAATATTCTTCAACCTGGTATTTTTTATAGAAATTTATTTTTCGTTCTGTTCTGTAAACCTTAGAAATGTAAACCATTTTTTGCTAACAAGAACTGTAATTATCACGATGTAACTGTTCCAAGTATGCTAATTTTCCTGGGTTGTGTTTCAACAATGCATCTCGAACGTACTCCGGAAGATCCCATGTAACTTGACTATTATCACTTTTGGCGAAATATTGTTGACCTTTTGTTTCCGGGTCTGTGCTTAGATGGACCATCCAATCATCCGTTAGGACGGAATCATCAAGATCCAGTCCACATGAACACTTTCGACGGCCCCTCATTTCAAAAACCGTCAGATTTCTCACCAACTGTTGTAATCTGCTCGTTGTTCCGTAATGTGCGACGGAATACTCTGGCGGGCCATCGCCATCGCGTCCACGCGTTGGAAGATATTTTTGATGTGAATCGACATTGTGTGATTTCGCGGGACATGGCAGCGATTGTCGGCGTGCTGAATGGTCATTCGGTAGAGGAGGGGGTGGTCTAGTGTTTAGTGAGTGTGCCCTTTGAGGCTCGTGTCGAGGTAATTTATGTGTCAAAGGTGTATACATGCACGACTCTTTCTTATTGACTGGATACAAGAGACGCAGGTCACGTATTTCCTGGCCGGGTACAGGATTACTCCGAAAGTATGTTAGTAGTTGGCTCATACTGCAAAACTCAAGATTTCTCGAGATGGAAAACCAACTTGATGATCCTCTCCTAGTAACATACACTTTGAAATGGTAAAGTGTGTTGGTCGGGTACCTGTAACATCAAATAAATAGGTTAGAATGTTTTATTTCGAACGTTCATAATTAACATTGAGAAAAACGAACAAAGGAAACACAATCAAAATAAAACTAAACAAATTGGACTGAAAGAATTGGAAAGTTTGATGAAATATTTATTGCAATTGAAGCTGTCTTTGCAGGTAACACGTTTCACACAAAAACTTATCACTAATGTGTATATAAACTTGTTTTAATATTAACAGAATAGCAAACTACGTTTTTGTATCTCATAGTTATAGTTTTATTGCCAGTGCCAGAAGTTGTGTGTCCGTATAAAGGTATCTTGAGGGTCGATATAAGTATCGTAGAAAGATATTGTGATGCAAACGAACAAATAAATAAGTAATAAATATAAAACAACATTAACAACTCGTTTACACAATGTTCAGACATTCTCACTATATTAGAAATGTCCAATTGACGCTATGTCGCTAGATAATGAGCTTAAATTCTGAATGCTGCTCGCTAAATTAATAATGTTACATATGTTCGATTATTATTACATGGATTACAAGTGATTGGTATCTTATCGTTACATGTCATGCAATACTGCATGAAAAGGACCCGTTAGTTTATTTACATCATCGCTTATAGGTTTGGATAATGTGGATAGTTTCCATGACAACGGAATGTTAAATTCGAAAACTACTTGGTAGCTCATTTCTTGCATACATGGCGTGTATACTGTGTAAAATTTTGTACTCACATTACTGATACGGCATAACAGTCTTTTTGTGAAATGCTTTCTCTCACCAGATATGAGAATGGTT